AACTTATGTAGTGCACCTTTAAAGATTAATTTTTTCTTTGGTACCAAGTTTAGTATTCAATTTTACTGGATGACTCATAGGTGTAAAATGCACTGATTCACTCATGACAAACTAATGAAAAGTTTTTTGTCTGTTTCCAGTTCGTCCACATCAACAACTTGAAGCTGATCTGTCGCGCTCACCAACTTGTGCATGAAGGTTACAAGTTCATGTTTGACGAGAAGCTGGTCACTGTTTGGTCTGCACCCAACTACTGCTATCGCTGCGGCAACATCGCCTCTATCATGGTGTTCAAAAACGCAGACACCAGGGAGCCCAAGCTGTTCAGAGCCGTGCCCGATTCAGAGAGGGTCATCCCACCCAGAACAACAATCCCATACTTCCTTTAGACAGAAAGAGACTGTACTGCCATGTGTTTGAAAAGGGACAGTTGTAAATTTGAATTCAATGGTGGAAATTATCATTGAATTGCATTAGCACTTGTGAAAATGTATGAATTTTGTATAGTATATATATTAAATGCTTCTCTTTGTGCCAACTGTCTGTTCAGTTATGTCATTGCTTTGTACATGTATTTCCTGACATTAAAATAGTTGCCTCCACAGCGCCCTCTGATGTTAACATGTTTTATAAAAGGAAGGATAAAAATGAACTCTGATGTTCATTGTTAAAATGTTTGTAGATATTGTTTTTATTTTTTACTCAGAAAAAAATTCAGCTGATGAAACTGTTATGTAAAATAGAATGTTTTATTTTGCCACTCTAATGTATTGACCCCTGTGTAAAGCACTGCACCAAATATGCATTCTCGACCGAACTGTGGAGTTCAGTGTTACAGTGCAGTTCCGTCAATAAATAAACCTCTGTGTAAATGCATTCAGACACTTTGCATTATGTCTTGATTTAAAGGTCCTATATCATGCAAAATTGACTCTTGGGACCTTTAAGCCATGTTATAATATTGTTACTTCTTCAGAAATGTACCTGGAGTTGTGTCTGTCTACATGCTCAAGGCTCAAAATACTCAGCTCCACCTTGTGCTGTCACAAAGTTGTAGTTTTCAAGTTAACAGCTACCTTTTACCTTTTGTTCAGCAGAAACTGGCAGTTCCATGGCTGAAATCATCCAAGTGATTCTAGTGAAGGTGTACTGAGTTTAAAAACACAGTGGGGCACTTCCTTTATTCATACAGGAAGATCTACACATGAGAGAACTCGTGAGAACTTAGTCTAAAAATGCTGAGTTTGTTAAACATGCGGATGAAACAAAACACAACTCCAGGTATGCTTTTGATGAGGAAACATAACCGATCAGAAAATTGTGCAATATGGCTCCTTTAAAAGTAATCTCTAGTCTAGACAAATACTGGGCTAAACTTTATGACTAATTTAGTATTTTTTACAACCAGTGAACTGACCTTGATCTTTGTATCTTTCTATGAGGGCTGGGCCGTTTTGAATGAGTATTGTGAGTTCTGTGATTAGATTTGCAAAATTGGCTTAAGGAATGTAGGATTTTGTCCAGAATACACATTGTAAACAAGTCAAAAGGCATAATATTTGCTATAGGACTTGCAATGAAGTTAACCGTTATTTCACTTCTATATACATTTTCTGAGACTACTACTCTATTATTTAATGCCTCTGACAACCATTAAACTTTATTACAATGATGTCTTTCAAGTAGCCTATTAAACCATTACTGTACTCTGAGTTTGCACAAGTGTTAATAGGTATTGTTGCTATTATTGCAACATGATCAGGATGAAACTCAAATGTAGCCTAAACACCTGAACAATGCAACGACTTAAAAAGAAAAGTCATATTTATTATTGAGGTAGGCCTGTGTATATGTGATTGTATTATAGACTTACTACATAATTGAGTACTAAGAGTAAAAGTACTTTTATTTCAAACAAACAAGTATATTCAGTCCAAAAACAAAAAAAGGTTTATCTTTTTATTATTCTGTTTCTGCTCAGGAGACCAGCTCAACCTTTGGCCTGGAGGAGCAGTAACAGTTCGGTGTGGGCAACATGATGACAACAACCGCCATTTCCTCAAACTTCAAGGACCGAGAGTGGCAGGAGGTAAAATAGAGATTAACACTTACTCCATATGTGTTTGTTGAGTAATATTATTTACTTCAAAATAATATTACCCAACAAAGTAGAGACCCCAAAAATACTGAAGTTAGAGTAAAAAAAATACCCCAGTAATTGTAAGCACAAAATCAAATTTATACAAGTTAAAATAAATGACAAGGGGTACATAATAAATAATTCAATCCACTTTTCATTTCTATAGCGCATTTCATGAATAAAAACTGTTTCCAAAGTGCTGCATGTAGAGAAAAAAAAATCTACAGTTTAATACACTAAAAACACAAGAATACTGTTACTTCAAACTAAATAAAACTCAAGTAGGAGTAAGTATAATCAGTCCAAGAACAGATTCAGTTTTTTTTTTTTTTTCTCAGGAGTAGTTCACCAGGGGCTACCTAGCTCCCCAAGGATGGAGGTTGAACTTTGCAAGAAGTATTTTACAAGTACAATTTCTTTAAAGGGTTAGTAGTAGACAAGGATTAAATGATAAGGATAGACCAGTACATGATTTTTGGTTTACTATATAATTATATAATTGTTCTGTTTCTTTTCAAATGGGCATCGCCACAATCTCTTGGCAGTTCACCGTGGGCTGGATGCCGACAATTATGACCACTTGAAACAACTGGATCACCTGGCCCAAGGAACGAGGGTGAATGTTCCTGGAAATATGTCAAAAATGTTGTAGTGGCATTTAAAGATAAGACAAAGATTTTGGTTTACTATGTTGATGGTTTAATTTTAGTTGTTCTGTTTCTTCTCAGTTGAGGTGAGCTCAGTTCCCTGTGGGGCAGATGACAATAATAACCACCCCCAACTTCACATAACATCTTCAGGGCCAAGGGCCAAGGGGGAACTTGGCTGGAGGTATGTCAAAAAGTAGCCTTTAACAGATCACATTTTTAGCTAAACTGTTAAATAAAAAAAGAAATGATACTTGAATAGAGTTTAACACACACTCAGTGATACATTTGAGTAATATTATTAGAGGCGACAGTGGTTCCCCCAACATGAAGGTCAGAGGATCAATTCTGGCTCTGACCGAGTTTTGTCGTTGTGTCCTTAGGCAACACACTTCACCCATGTTGCCGAGTTTGGAAGTGGTGTGTGTGTGGATGAATGATAAAAATGGTACTGCTATTTCAACAAAATATAATTCAAGTAGGAGTAAGTATATTCAGTCCAAAAACCACTACTGTGAGAACTAGTTTCTTGAAAATGTTAACCAATTTGTAGTAAAAAGTAAGAAGATGAGGAGAGAATAAGAGGATAAGGACAGACCATCATATGATTTTTGGTTTACTCTGATGAGATGTTTTAACTTTAATTGTTTCTTCTCAGGTGAAGGTGAGGGAAGTCTGAGGTGAGCCAGGCGACCGAGACCTGCAGGTGAATGTGGCAAGAGGTATGTCAAAACACACAATGTTTTGTTTACTATGATAAGATTTAATTTTTAATTTAAATTCTTCTGTTTCTTTTCAGGTGAGCAGCTCCACCGATGGCAGGTAATTCGCTGTGATCCAAATCCTGAAAACCCCAACCACCTTCATCGTCATCTGGGCCAAGGATGAAGGAGGAACTTGGCAAGAGGTAAAAATGTCAAATGTTCTAGTGGCATTTTGCATAACACATTTGTAGCTACTAGTTATTACGTGTGACAGGGGCTCAATTAGACCACAAAATCGAATACTGGTACTTCAAAAAATATATAATTCAAGTAGGAGTAAGTATATTCAGTCCAAAGATTACTTTACAACTACAACAAGACTACAGTTTTTTTTTAAAATGTGAGTAGATTAGACAAAGAGAAGAGGATAAGGATAGGCCTGCACATAGTTTAACTTGAACTGTTCTTTTTCTTCTGAGGTGAACGGCCCCAAAATGGGCGTGGAAGAGAGCAGATCACCGGGGGTCAGGTCACCAGGGGCCAAATGATCGGAACCAAGGACCATGGAGTAACTTGGGTTGAGGTGTGTCAAAAATATGTTTTACAGTAGTAGCATTTATATACATAACATAACATACTTTAAACTTTTAAAAAATGATTCTGTTTCTTCTCAATTGACCATGTCTAAAGAACCGCAGCAGAACCCAGATGGTTAATTTCTCTTTTTTATTTTTATAATTTTCTTTAATTATGAGATATGCATATGGTAACAAAAAAAAAAACCCTCCCACACCCCACCCCTCTCTCCACACCAGGGGCGACGCCGGGGGGTTAGGGGGCTTGAGAGGACATGAGGGGGCTTTAAGGGACCCCATTTTTGACCCATTTTCATAGGATCTTGATTCAGTCTTGATTAAAAATGTTCAAATGGCATCCACAAAATGTTACATAGAGACAATAAAACAAGAACTCCACATTTTCATAAATCACTAGAGGGGCTAACGAGGTCTACATTTCAACTTTAAACAGCAAAGCAAACGTGGTAGTGAGAGTGGGGGTGTTTACAACTATAAAATGCTCTAAATTAACAAAGTAAAGGTGAAATTCAACTCTGTCAACTGGACAGAAGTTTTTTGATCAAATGTTTTGCAGCTGGATCCGAGGCTTCCAAACATTTCTCTTGATCAAAATGCCAGTTGTATTTGGTGTTGTCTTTTCTTTTTACATGTGCATTAAAAGTAGTACATCAGTTTGCTTGGGTTAAACTACAGGTTAAATAATTACTCAAATGCATACGGTCTATCAATAAATATTTAAATAAACAATGTGAATCAGGAGTTCTCACAGAAGAGCTGTGTGGCAATGTGTGTGTGAATATGGCTCCAGTCAGACATGTGCCTTGCCAAATGTTAACAGGAATTGAACCCCAACCTTCCACTTTAGTCTGGCTGTTCTACCTCATCATGACACATGCTAAAATGTATTAAAAAAAAATACAATTGTAACAAATTCTGATTGTATTTTTTATTTAAAGCAAAGGAAAAGCGCATCTTCAGATTTCATTAATCAAAATATTTCTTAAAGCAAATTAAAAACAACCACACATCTTAAAAATACATTATAAATACCCCTCTCTATGTCAAAGCCCAAACAAATCTATTTAGACAACTAGAACGTGAGTTTAAAGAAATAACAAAATTTAACTTTGTAGCAAAAAATACAACTTCATGTACTGTGGCATATTTACAATTAATTAAACAGAACCATTGATGATATTGATCGAGAAGTGATGAATTACAAATGTATTTCCCAATAGTACCAGAGATATCAATATAGTATTGGTCAAAAACCTGATCATGTATTTATTTATTTATTTCAGAATCAATTTGAGGAATAAGTGTTTGCCTATTCATATTAAATTAGGATTTCTGCTTTTTTTTTGTTAGTTTTTATAATTTGTTGCTCCTGGAAGATTATGATCCTGTATATATATTTTTTAAACAAATGGAGATTATTGTAGGCAAAACAACTTAATCTATTAAATCTATAATCTAATCTATATCTATACTAACTATTATAAAGCTCCTTCAAATAAATGTTTCAGAACACACAGAATGAAAGACATGATATGACAACTCTTCAATGCAGATTCAACTAGATAAAACTTGTGATTTAAGGAGAGCATCTTAAAGGCTTATTTCAAAAGCGTCGCTCAAAGTCGATGATATGATTCAGTGTTCACGCTAAAGTTTTACTCTTGTCAATCAAACTACAGTAAAACTAGAAAAAAAGATCTTCAAATCAAACCAAATGCTGTTCATAAAATGATCAGGATCATTAGAACAGCTCATCAAACGGCTCACATGTCACTCTGGTTTAGGATCAAGTGCTTGTTCAGCCTCTTCCTTTTATGTTGAGGCTGTAAAAAGAATAAAAAACACTTTACTTACAATAATAATCCTATTGGAAAGCAAATATGTGTGTGTGTGTATGAGTCTTCCAGGTCATGTGGGAACTTAAAAGATATAAACCCATGAACACACAGTTATAGAAGTGAATCCATTTACATTTCCTTTTTGGGTCCAAGAATAAATCAAATCTCTGGTTTGGGAAACACTGGTGACATAATCTGTTTGCACAATCAGCGACTCTGATCAAATGTGAGCTTATATTTTTCTTACCTTTCATCAGTACTTTGTCGACATCTGGTTCACTGGGAGCTGAAATGACATAAGAGACGTTTAAAATACTTTCACTAACATTTCTGTGTCAGTGGTGCACAGATGAGATGATGAGTATTATGTCTTATCAATGTGCAGTAGATGGAAAACAGTCAAAATGTGTTACTTACGAGGTGTGAGCTGTTTGGCTGAAATAGAAAGTGATTTTTTTGTTACATTTTTTCAGTTGTGTCTTATTTTGAAACATTTTTATCTATATACAATTCCTCTTACTTTACACTTTCTGTACACAACAAATCCAGCAGCAAGAAGAAGAGCTACAACAAGAACGCCCACGGCAACAGCAACTCCAACTGTAACTGCATCTGTGTTCTTCTTTGCTGTTAAAACAAAACATAAAATAAGTTAAATATGGAGTTTAAGGATGTCAAGATTATTTGGTGATTATGAGTACAATTTTTCAGATCATAATATCATGTAATGTTTCTTTTTAAGTCACATTAACTTTATTTAATCATTGTTGGTTGAATTTTTTTTGAGCCAAAACCGATAAAATCAATAGTTAGTTTGCTGCTGTGGCAAATACTCGATTTTTGACGATACTGATATTAATTCATTAACTAACTAAATTATCTTAAGTTGAAGTAAAGCTCACAAATGAACATTTCAGATCTGTAAAATAGTAACAATCTGTTTTTATCTGAGATAGAAAATCATTTGTTGTGTTTGTGTAAATCTTCTATTTCCATTTCGACTCATTTGTTCAAAAAAGGCACAGAGTATTTTTGTGTATCGATATCAGCCGATACTGATACTGGACCCGATATATCGCCCGTCCCTCGTCACCCACATTTCCCTGTTATTGTTCAGTGTTAAATACGTTTACTGTTCTTTCATTTTCATCACTTCACACAGTCTTTAGTCCCACAGAAAGCTGCTCACCGTTGCTCATGATCAGGTCTGGGTGCAGCTTGGTGGGCATGTCTGGAACTCCAGACAACTGGAACATGCACCCGAAGTGTCCCCAGTCCTCAGGTGGGACAGAGGACAGGTGGGACATGTCCAGGTCCACACTCATCTGGAAGGTCCCGTCGTGATTGGGCAGGATCTCCCCGGGGTCCACGCCCTCGTGCAGCTCCACTCCGTCTTTGGTCCAGAACAGCATGGCTCTGTCGGGGTAGAAGCCTGTGGCGTGGCAGGTGACCGGGGACGAGGGAGTCTTCTGCAGGAAGGACACCAGAGGGAGCTCTGGAGCAGGACCACACACAGTTTTGGATCAGAGAAAAGGAAAATTACAGAAATGTCACTTCACCTCTTTCTTTTTTGAAATACAACACTTCTACTACTAGATCCAAAAAAATATTATTCAGTCCTTATTATGTTTTGAATTGAACAAATCTGAGTGAGTCCAGTTGTTTTGATGAACTTGGTAATAAAACATTATAGACAATAAACTGTTTTCTTTATAAAATATCATTTCCATTTTATTTTCAGTAGATCAGGCTCCTCTAGACGACTGCAGAGCAACAATAAAAGTGTAAAGTCTTGAATTAGACATTTGTGAATGTTCTCATGATAAAACACATGGGATTATTTGTATTGATGTTTAAACTTTAAAATGTGATTCAAGAAAACTGCAACAAAACAAAAAAACAACTCAAATCAACTGTTTGTTTTTAATGATTGTAAATGATAAAAGAATGTCTTTTCTAGAGCTGTAGTTTTTTTACTCCTTTGATCGGTCAGTGGTGTTTTAAGTTTTTGTAATTATTATTGTATTATTTAAAGTATCTTAAATAAAAATAATAATACAAATATTGTATTAAGGATTTATACATTTATATTTGTTCAGTCACTTAGTTTTTATTTAATCTAATGCAATTTTATAAATGAGAAATAATGAATGAACCACAACTCCTCCAGTTCTAAACCAGAACTTAAACCAGAACTAAACCAGAACTACTAAACCAGAACTAAACCAGAACTAAACCAGGACTAAAAAACTAAACCAGAACTAAACCAGAACTAAACCAGGACTAAACCAGAACTAAACCAGAACTAAACCAGACTAAACCAGAACTAAACCAGAACTAAACCAGAACTAAACCAGAACTAAACCAGGACTAAACCAGAACAGAACTAAACCAGAACTAAACCAGAACTAAACCAGAACTAAACCAGAACTAAACCAGAACTAAACCAGGACTAAACCAGAACTAAACCAGAACTAAACCAGAACTAAACCAGAACTAAACCAGAACTAAACCAGGACTAAACCAGAACTAAACCAGGACTAAACCAGAACTAAACCAGACTAAACCAGAACTAAACCAGGACTAAACCAGGACTAAACCAGAACTAAACCAGAACTAAACCAGGACTAAACCAGGACTAAACCAGAACTAAACCAGAACTAAACCAGGACTAAACCAGAACTAAACCAGAACTAAACCAGGACTAAACCAGAACTAAACCAGAACTAAACCAGGACTAAACCAGAACTAAACCAGAACTAAACCAGAACTAAACCAGGACTAAACCAGAACTAAACCAGGAACTAAACCAGAACTAAACCAGAACTAAACCAGGACTAAACCAGACTAAACCAGAACTAAACCAGAACTAAACCAGGACTAAACCAGAACTAAACCAGAACTAAACCAGAACTAAAACCAGGAACTAAAACCAGGACTAAAAACTAAAACCAGGACTAAACCAGAACTAAAACCAGGAACTAAACCAGGACTAAACCAGAACTAAACCAGAACTAAACCAGGACTCTAAACCAGGAACTAAAACCAGGAACTAAACCAGGACTAAACCAGAACTAAACCAGGACTAAACCAGGACTAAACCAGAACTAAACCAGGACTAAAACCAGGTCTAAAATCAGGACTAAAACCAGGACTAAACCAGGACATAACCAGGACTAAAATAAGGTCTTAAATCAGGTGTAAACCAGGATTAAACCAGGTCTAAACCAGGACTAAAACCAGGTCTACAATCAGGACTAAACCAGAACTAAACCAGGATGAAAACCAGGTCTAAACCAGGTCTAAAATCAGGACTAAAACCAGGTCTAATCCAGGACTACAACCAGGTCTTAAATCAGGTGTAAACCAGGACTAAACCAGGACTAAAATCAAGACTAAACCAGGTCTAAACCAGGACTAAAACCAGGTCTAAAATCAGGACTAAACCAGGTCTAAACCAGGACTAAACCAGGACTAAAAATCAGGACTAAAACCAGAAACTAAAATCTAAACCAGGACTAAAATCAGGTCTAAACCAGGACTAAACCAGGACTAAACCAGGTCTAAACCAGGTAAACCAGGTAAAACCAGGTCTAAACCAGGTGTAAACCAGGACTAAACCAGGTCTAAACCAGGTCTAAAACCAGGTGTAAACCAGGTCTAAACCAGGTGTAAACCAGGTGTAAACCAGGTGTAAACCAGGTCTAAACCAGGTGTAAACCAGGTGTAAACCAGGTGTAAACCAGGTGTAAATGTCCTGGTCTGGTTCTTGTGATGTGCTGCAGTCCAGTCACACTTGTGTTGTGTTTGTTCTTGTTGTTTTTATCCACTGTTGTTTATTTTGTGAACATTAAACGTTTTGTTTCGGTTCAAAACAAAAGGCACAAATATAAACGTGAAGTCAAAACAATGAACTCTTAAAAAAAAAAAAGACTTCAGTCATTTTACGTCATATTTTTCAATTAGAAATGAACAGTACATTTTAGATGAAGAGACAATGAACATTATTCATTAATAGTTATAGTTTGATTCACCGAGGACAGTGGAAAGTTCAGTTGTTATTACTGGTGCTAACGAAGAGAAAAGAAGATTTAAATGTCATTTGTAAGTAAAATGTCATTGTGCTCATGTTCAATTAAAGTTAGTCGGCAGAAGCAGAAAGACAAGAAACTGAAAATAACGTCTCTGTGTCATTGAGTTGATTTCAGAGTCGATCTTTCCACATAAATATTTAAAACTGTTAGTGGTGATTGTTCCGGCCCAACACCTGCTACATGCATCACAGCAGAAATAAAAACAACACGCTCGGAGTGAGTTAGTGTGAGATTTGAGCGTCTGCTGTGAGTTTAATCTGAGTTCTTTAATCTGAGTTGAATCTGCCTCTGATTATTTGTAGTTTTCTGTATAAATATGTGTCATGGAGTGAACTGGTGTGATCTTTTGCTCTGATCAGTGCAGTTTGGGTCAAATGTCAGAGCTCACGTCACACAACACGTTTTAGTCTCTTTTAGTCGACTCATCAACACAGTGAATGTCTTTAGTCGACTGCAGCCTCACTATTTTCACATATTTGTTTTTTATTTATTGTGTGAAAAAAGAGATTCTTGTTTTTTTTAGTGATCAGATTTCTGCACCAAAGCCTCTCATCTGTGTAAAGTTGTAATTAGTTTAAAACATGTTACCTTTCCTCATAATGGTGCTCTGTCCATATTTCAAGTATTTCTTCAGATACTCAACACAACGGTGGGTGATGTAGTTTTTCTGTCGAACAGCCTCTCCACTTCTCTCCCACTTGTGTTTGGTGATGACGGCCTCTGATCTCGGAGCCACAAAAGTCTCAGTCTTCAGGTCAAAGGCGATAAAATCTTCTCCATCAAAACCGTACTGAACCCATCCATTTATGTCACCGGTCTCATCGTCCCATTCACAGCCGACCATCCTCTGCAACATGTGAGAGCCTGAAACACAAACATGACAGGTTTTTATTTCACATTGTATTTTGACATTTTGTGTTGTTGGACATAAAACTATAATACATGTGTTGTTTAGTCATGTTTTCAAAGTGATTTTAAAATGATGAATCTTATATAAAAGTGCACGAGCTGAACAGATGTGTTTTCTCCTGGACTAAATGGAACTGAAAATAAATAATAATAAAACGGACTGAAAATAAATGACCATATAATACAGCACTAATATAAACAATATAAATGTGTTTTTTCATATACAACATAAATAAAATTGAATAAGATGAGCTGTAAAAAGTGAAATGGGACAAACCTTCAGTCTGGTTGAGGCGCTGTTTCACTATTTCAGTGTTGACTTTGTACCACTGCTCATTGTTCAAACTGATCTGAGTCTGTGTGTCCCAGTACTGTGGATCCTCCTCTGTGATCCTCTTCATCCACTCCTGTTTGGGCACTGCTCTCTTTGTGTTACTGTCATAATGAGTGATCTGAAGGCCATTCACATAACCAACAGCAATGAACTCTGGGAAGTTTGAGACATCAGTTGAAGAAGTGTGAAAAATACATCAGGAGTGAGTCACTGTGAAAAGAAAAAAACACTGTCAGTTAAAAATACAGAATAAAACAAATCTTACATATCACAAACAAAAACAAAAAAATCTAATAAAAATTCAACAACAAATAATAATTATAGTTTATAAAATGAGGCTTTTGACTAAATTAACTGTATTAAATTAGTTACTTATATGAACACATGATAATCCCAAAATAAATCTTTAATGTGTTGTAAATATAAAATTGGAAAAAATAAATATTGTTTTGAAGTTGTGTTTTTAAAGTCGTCACAGAAACAAAACTAAACAGTAAAACCATTAAGACACATGGTTTATTTCACATTTGGATCTGAAAATCTCACATTGTTCTTTTTAAACAATTGCTGCTGATTAATATTTATAAAATTCCACGACGTTTAACCAATCAGAATTCAGAATGAGCCTCTGCGTCAGGTGTTGTCAGGTAAAGGCGAAACAAAATTCCAGCAGAGAGCAGAAAAAATAAAAGTGAAACAAATAGTGTGTGGAGGACATTTTGACGCAGCGGATTGAAGTGCCATGTTGTTTTTGGGCGACATTTTGAAAACTAAATGTGATAAAGTACAAATGTGAGCTGCTTTTGTCTCAGTGGTGTTTCTTCTTTATGACGGGAACATGTGCAAAGATGAGTAATCACACTGGATCATCCTTATATCCTCGTCAAAGTCAAGTGTCAGAAAGTAAAAGAAACATACTACTTGTACGTGAATTATAATAAAACTGAAATTGTGATTTAGGATCGAAGAAAATGGTGATATAGATTTTTCTTAAATTTCTTAAAGGGCTCATATTACACTATTTTCTGATTTATGTTTCCTCATCTAAAACAGACCTGGAGTTGTGTTTTGTTTCATTCACATGTTTATCACACAAACCCTGCACATTTAGGCTGAGTTCTTCTTAAAATAAAGTCTGAGTGAAATCCGAGGTGAGTGATTATTGCCAAAAATTCAGTCCAATTAGTCCCATTTTAAGATAAGTTTTCACATTTTTGCTTGTCCGTGGCTCATGGCTCCTCCTTCTACAGATTACAACAACACTGGAGACAGAAACTGGTTTGAGTCAGAATTAAAGAATCACCAAATGCAGCAGGTGATCATTAGACCTGCACTGTTTGTCAAAATTCATTGTACAAATCTCAGAAAAGTTAAAAATTATGCACATTTTCTGTTGGAGCGTCTGCCTCCTGCTTGTCTCCATAGAGATATTATTGCTTTGCTTGAAATGTTGCACAGTACGGCATTAAACTTGGCATTCACCATCTTAAACCTGAACGCCTGAGAGGTCACAGGAGCTTTAAACTGATTCAAACTACTGTTTTCATCTTTATAGCACAGATATATTTTACTATATTTTGTTTTATCGGTGCATAAAAATCTGTATATTTCTGTGTTCATTATATATTTGGTGCTGTAATTATTTAAAATGTATGATTATAGTGTAATGTGTGAGCTGTTGTCAAGTCTCCTGTGGATCTTTAAGTGTTTTTATTGCTCAAAAATGCCCTGAAATACAGATATTACGTTTAATGCCACACTGTGGAACCTTCATGGCATCAGTAACATTTTAGCCTACAAGTTAAGACATTTCTACACTAAATTGTCAAATTATAAGGTAATATTTCATTTCCATTTGCTACCAACGTCAGCGAGGTAAAAACTATTCTGTGCCAAAGTGAAAGTTTGTGCGTAAAGGCTCCTCTGTAGACCTACGTTACATGTTGGACTGTTTGGGTTCAGAGACAAAAGATGTGAAAAAAAAAATCGTGTTTCAGTTGTGTTGGACCAAAAGAAAAAGAACCAGGAGCAAAATGAAGGACTAAACCAAACCTTGGAATAAATCTAGTGGAATAAATCTTAGTGACAAGAACAACACGCAGCAAAAGCAAAAGCAAAGGCCTACAGCGTCCACAACATGTCCAAACAGACCTGTGTAGTTCACGATTTATACACTTCTTATTCACAACGGAGCTGACATAGAAAGAGAAACGTGTTCAATAATAAATCATTAATAAATAACCTAAATAAATAAATAAAATAACGCAATTAAATAATAAAAAACTATGCCTACGGATATCAGAATTAAAAATAAAACATAAACAGAAGAGACATTAGGCTACTCACTTGACTCGACGCCATTTAGATGTAGTCCTGCTCCAAGGAGAGAGGCCAAAACAAAAATATTTGTGACGAACATTGTAGTAGAAGTTTTCAGAGACGTTTATTCTCTGAAAGGCGCTGGAAGAGTAAAGCAGAGGGACCAGACAGACGCATTTATTACGGAAGAGGGCTGGACTTATCTGTGGGACTTTCTGATGAGAAGATCAAGTGATCATTTTGGAACCAATCAGAATTCAGATTGAGCACAAAATCCACCCGTTACTAGGTAAAAGTGCCTCTCACAGGTTGTGAACTCAACAAGGCAGAAACGAAAGTAAAAGAAATTGAGGTAAAACTAGAATATAGACGGTTTTAAGTGATTAATCACCAGAGATGTAACATAACTCCATAAGTAACACATCAAAACATAAAGTTACTCTTACACAGCGCTTTTCTAACGCTTTATTTCCCCCCTGCAAGCGTCTTACAGCCTAAATATAACCGAAGAGACGCCGCCTACTGGTTTCATGGTGGTACTACCAGGAATTGATTTAGCCAATGGACTAAAATGAATCTAAAATGGGATTAAAATATGCAAACTGACTATACAAACAAGAAATAATCCAGTTAGTCTAAAGATCTGACTGTAATGTTGTCTACACACGTCTACATACAATTGTAGATGATATAATAGTCCTAATTCAAACAAAATAACACTTGATATAGGACACTGAAGAACTACCAGAAAAAAAAAAAACAACATGAAACCTACTGCAGTAACAGACCACAGTAATAACAACAATAATATAGACTTGATAACTGATTAAAAAGTTGCAGTAGTGAAGTAGTTGTAGTACTATTAGACTCCATGTTACATACAACAGACAAAGGATCAGGTCTAATCTGATAAACTCTGAGTTTATGATGATGCTGAACTTTCACTGACTCTTGTTGATTCAGTCTAAAATGATCTTTAAAGAAGCGTGTGTAGTCAGCGTTATACCAGTGTTATTAAGCGTCCTGAAGCTCTTTTACTTTGTAGCATCACAACAAAAAACACATGAGTCAAATGACATCTTCTGTTTCTCTTCATACAGCAGATTCACACTGGATTCTTTCATGTAGCATTTTGAAGTCACTGTCCATCACCGCATCACTCAGAGTCACATTTTACACATTTTTACAGCAACAGAACCACAAAAATATTGAAAAATGCAATATTATTTTGTTGATTATTTAGTGAAATGAGCTGTTTGTTTTTCCCGTATCCATTGTGAGAGACTAGAGAAGGAGCTGTGGACGTTTGAGTTGCTACAGAGTTTTTACACCAAATGTGTCAGAAAACCTTCTAGAGGAAACACTTTGAGGGAATGAACCATCTCCTCACCAACTGAAACACCAGAGCAGAGTAAGAGTGAGGCCTTTCCTGTTGTGTTCACCTGGCGCCCCCTGGAGGCTGCTGTGATGCTGCGGGACACAGAGGAGGGAGGGACACTTTTGGCTCTTCCACAGGATCTGCTGACCCTCCCTGACCAGTCCTCCTGTCAAACTGCACTGACACCTTTGACTGAGACACAAAGGACACAGAGAAGAACAGTGTGAATGATGCTGCAGCAAAACTTGAATTTCCCTCGAGATTATTAAGGTTTTATCTTCAGTTGGTTCATATTTTAATTCTGTTTCCCCTTAATTGGGTTAATTGGACTTTAATTGTGACTTTAGTTTTGACACGTAAATACAAAGAGTTAAGAGTTTTTTTTGGGTTTTTTTACATCATGCACCTTAACACACAATATATATGAGTGATGTAAAGTGAAATAAATCAGATGAATTTGTTTAAGTTGTTCATATTGGTGCGTTACTGTTATGTAACTCTGAACCTGCTCGTCTCTTTGTCTGGAAAATTCCGCAGCGCGTGACATTGAAGTTACCTATCTCCATGGAAACAAGCACGTGGTTACAGGTCAGATCTGTGAAGAGACAGACGTGCTCACAGTAATCAATAACATGCACTAACATCATCTGTGACATAATGAATCCAAAAGAGATCAGTTTAATGCCATACTGTGGAACATTTCTAGATCCCTCACCACAAAAGTCACATATTGCTAGGGGTGTGCAAAAATATCGGAATATTGATATATCGTATCGTTTAATGTGATGATACAGTATCGATATTGTGGGCTACTGTATCGATATATCACCAAGAGTATTTTTACGTGTGTTTTACTGAATTATTTTGTTACAGTGCTACAGTTTTGTTGCTTGTGGAGTGAAAGGAAACTCATTTATGCAACACATTTGATATTTTGACTCTGTTTTGAGGATTAAAATGTTTGTGTTTCATATGAACGTTGCACAAGAAGTGGTTTAACAAAGACTTTTAGTATCACAGCCATGATTTAGCCTTTATTTTTTATTGAACTGTATCGAATCGATTTGAAATATATCATATCGAATGGAAAGTGCACTGTATCGAGATATGTATCGTATCGTGGCCTGTGTATCGAGGTATGTATCGTATCGGCAACTTCTTAATGATACCCAGCCCTACATATTGCGTCACCATTTTATACTCTGATCACTGATAACATTTTCCTGTCTGTAAGGATACATGGGCCTATTGAACAAACGTCACAAGAGCAGTTTTCACTTCAACATTTTTATTGATCTGGCAACATAAAACAATATTGTGGTCTTTTCACCACATACACTATGTATTCACATGTTACACCATACAGCTACAAAGAGAGAGACTCAACACAGCCACTTTTTTACATACTGCATCCTTGACATGAAAAACAAACCCTAAAACTTCAAAACAAGAGTAGCTGCCAGTTGTTTACGTTCACCACTTTTTATGGGTCTCAAGTCAGATTTAGAGTTGAAAGATTTCTAAGATGCAAAAATAATCCGTGAAAGTGAGTGAAAAAGGCAAAATGTACAAGTGCGTATCTATGGAAACAGATTGGGGAGGCAGTATACCGTTAATGTCATATTGTAAATAGCATTGGGAAAGCGGTACAATGTAGAGAACAGGGAGGTTTCTCGAGCCGTCCACAACATAACAGTCTTCATATATGTATTTTTCTAGTTTAAATGTCTTCAAGTACAGTATGTTTCTAATGATACCCCCCGAAATGCAAGCAGAAGGTGTAAGATGATTTGTAGCGTTGTAACAAAACTTTTTTCATTTTTACAAAGTCAGCACCATGGCGTAGCTTCCTGTAGAGAAAGCTGTCCAAAAAGTATCATTTTGACATTCTCAGCGCTCAGAAAAATATTTGTGGTATTTTTTTATTCCTAACTTTTTTCAAATATACACAGTGAAATTTAAAATGTAGCGTCGTATAGCACCAGACCCCCTACATAAGAACAATATTCCAAACTTGAGATGTCCTCTTCAGTAATATTAGCACCCATGATTTTCTGTAAATGTTTCTGTGATGTAAAGTATACTGATGCATTGTGGGTAAAAACAGGCTTCACTGAATATCATGAGATCCAGATGCATGATTGGAAAATGCCGAATTACAAAAGTTCTGATTCATTATGAACCCAGTACAGATACATAAAACAAGTGGCACATTGTCTGTGTGTGATGCAAAAACCTGCTTGAATAAGTTAACAATTAATAGCAGAAAATGGTTTTTAAAATTCATATTTAGGTAATGGGACATGGGTTTAAAAGTCATCTATTACACTAGAATTTCTGTATTTGCAACTTGCTTGTTCCACTTTTTGAAGTGACTATTAAATATTTTCCGTCCTAATGGCCAGTTCAAATGTTAAACTTGATATTTACTAGTAATTTTATCCACTGAAAGGCCCAAAGTGGCAAAGAACAGCACCACTCTCTTGTAAGCCATAGAATAGTGTTCCCATATATTGCCAATCACTACTTTTACTGAACCTTACAGGGGTCAAGGATCATCTTTAAGACATTGTACAAAACCAGAACTCCACTAAATCAACATTAAAAAGGGGGAAGCATAATAGATGACTTTTAACATGAAATAAGTGGGGTGAACAGTTAGTTTTGGGACAGTGAGGGGGTGTTTTCATGCTGACTGGGGGTGCAATATAAAACAGAATATCAGTGTATACATAATAATGGATACAACGCACTGGTACCAAGTGTGGTCAATGGCGGCCAATACCCCCTAGTCATTCATGGTTTAGTTACTATCATCACCAGTTAAATAATCTTACCTAAATATTTTAATATTTACATTTGTATCTCTCTCTTGAGAAAATAATAGCAGGAATAACAAAACAAAAACTAGGCTTCAAGTTGTCAAATATCGGCTCTTTCATTTTTCATTAAAATCAAGATTAAAAGTGCTTTTATAAATCTTTTCTATGTACAATTTGTATTAGCTGTATAAAAATGAAAAAACTAAACAAAAACAAAACAAGACAATCATTTTCATCACCATGTCATAATAAATAAAGAGTAAAAAAAGTTTAAAATGAGTGTGGAGATCGGGAGGACATAACTGAATGAACATTACCTTGCCCTCAGTAGCATGCTGTGATTGTGACCAGTGTCTCTACAGCGTGAGGTAGAGAGCTGGAAACCCCACCGGCCCCGGACTGGACCAAGAAGGGTGCGATCCAAACAACCACTCAACATCAAGGGTCAACATCATCATTTTCACTTCTACAGCACCGTGCAAAAGTTATGTGAGGTTTTAAGATGTTAAGATTTTAGATGAAAGGCAGCACAAAATTAAGACAATGATAATTCAATTTAGGGCTGCAAGATTTTGAGGAAAAGTCTAATTGGGATTTTTCTAAATAGTATTGCAGTTAGAAAGGATTCGGTTCAAAGTGCAAATTGTACTCCAAAGGCATTAACATTAACATTAACATAAAAAATACAGGATATTTTGTTCTTTGCTGTGGACATTCTAGTATTATCTAAATAACTGCAGCCTTTTCGGATTTGTAACTCAAATTGCGTTTATGATTTAATTGCGATATATTACTATGCATAACAGGAGTTAACAGACATAGTTTTCAATTGGTATTGTACATTTCATATTCCCTTCTTCGACAACCTGCAAGACTTTAGCACAGTGCTTAAATTGAAAATGAGAAAATGCTGTGACCCGTAACTAGATTTAACAAATAGGCTCTGTCTTTGGCTCTTGTCTTTCGTACATTCACACACACAAACACACAAGGAGAGATTCATTGATTCACTGCCTGTTGGCGCCAACTTTCATAAAATACAGTAAATTTCCCTTAATCTCAGTACATATTATCACAGCTGTTCTCACACAGAGCATCACAAGTCAGAGTAGAATCTTAAAAACAGACCTATAGATAAAAAACAAGCTGCAAGCGCATTATGGTGACACTTATAGCTGTTTTTACGTCATATTTTTACACATGTGCAAAAAATATATAAATAACACATTTTCAAATAACAAAATGTCTGGTGGTTTTCAATCCATATTAGAAGTATGACTTAATGAAGAGATCCTTGGTTGCACTCTAATGCGATTGCAGTCATGTTTCTTACACACCCTCAGAGCATCTATAGGTCAGCTTTTCTGATTGGCTGACTCTGCGTTAGGATGACAGCACCACGCAGAGATCAAGTGTGCCAGGAGAGCACCATAGTGTGTAGAAACAACACCAGCACTGCACGCTTCACTTTCCCCAAAGGATTGAAAAGGTAACACCCCCTCTGCTGGTAAACAGGTGTAAATGCAGCAATGTTTACAGCTTGTGGAAAGGCTGGGGAGGAAGTGAGTGCATGGTTTGTCTGTACAGCACACTTTGAAAAGGCGTTGCTGCCCTCTAGAGTTCACACTAACAAGTGCTCACAAGGACTTGAATAGGAAGAAATACAGAGCCGCCTGTTTCACGTCTGTGATAAAAGCACCTCTTGGTCAAATATAGCACTTTAAAACAATGTCTTTCAATAGAGGGAATACCAGAGAATAGAAGTATAAGATGCATGGTGGAACACCTTGTTTTGGTATTTCTTCTACTGTGAGGAGACATTTAAAACACTTGAACCAAATTTGTGTTGAGCACCAAAGTACAGCATCAAGTGCCAAGAAGAGCAGTGGAATGAGAAATTGATCAGAGCTGGAAGTGGAGCACCAGTGAGAGTTGGAGGGTGGAGGAGGAACGCTTCATTGTGAGGCAAAAACATTAACAGCTTAGATCCAAAACACTGTTTACAGTAAAAAAACAGTTGTCATGACTAAAATCTCAATAAACATGATGATGCTGGTAGCTAAAATGTGATCTGTTTTAAAAGACATGTTACCAGTTTGTCAAATTCTTTATAATAACAGTTTTGTTATTCGTCCTACAGTATGATTTGAGACACGTGTCCTGCCAGGCACATGAATGTTCCTCCTCAAAGTACAGCCATAAATTTGACATCAAAATAATAAAAATAACCCTAAAAGAGCGCACATATTTTCCAAACAAGGAAAGAACAATTGTCTGAGATTGATTGGTCAGACTGATTGATAAAAAAATATAAAACCTAAAGAAATCACATCATTAATAACATTAATGAAAACAGCAATAATAAAACAAACAGGTCTTCATTATAATAATAATAGCTGTAATAACAACAATGACAGTAACAATAGCAATCATAATATTGATAATAATAGCAATAATTAGGATCATTAAAATTCTATAAACAAGTAAAAGCAATGGAGTTCCTCTCAGAGGGAAGAGAGAGGAAGAGCACCAAAGGCAGAAGCCACTGCCTGACATGAGGTAAAACAATAAAAGGTCCCTCCACAGAGGGGCCGTGAAGGTGTCTCTAGACAAAGCGGCTGTAGGGCCCTGTGAGCTGCGTGAAGGCGTACGGAGACACCTGCACCATGGAGGTGGTGTGGAATGTGGGAGCTAACCTCGTCACGGGGCCCTCTTTCTTGTCCTTAGTCTGCCCGGGCCCCAGACTGGCCCCTGGCATCGCGGCCCCCCACTTGCGCTTCTTCCCTGAGGCTTTGATGTCGTCCTGGGACAGACCCAGCAGCGCGGCCTCCTGCTGCCGCTGCAGTGCGCGCTCAGCCAGCAGCTTCATCTTGGCCTCCCACACAGCCAGGCCGTGCAGGGGCTGGTTCAGGTTCTTGTGCTGGTAGAAGACCAGAGAGATGCGCGTGGGATGGGTGCGGTCGGGCCTTTTCAGGGGCGTGGTGGCATGTAGCTCTCGCCGAGCACATTCAATGAGGATGGAGCCGTGAGCAGGTGCCACAGCCACCCCTCCGATGTTCGGATCCAGGAAGTTGTGCTCGCTGTCGGACCATACTTCATCGTCCTCCTCGTCACGCTCTTTGCAGCTCTCCACGTCGCTCTCTTGGCTGCGTTCCCAGCTCTGCTCTGTCTGCTGTAGTGCATCAGGAAACAAACGACCCTCTGGAGCCGGGGACGGGGTTGCGCTGGCCACCGAACCCCCGCACGATTTCCAGGCCTTCTCCTGCAGGCCCAGGGGTGTGGAGCACCTCTCCCCATTCTCAGACCACATCTTGTCGGGGTAGGCCCCACTAGGATTGTTGTGCTTGATGACTGGACTGTAGCCTCCTGGAGCCATGGCCCAAGGGTTGCCCTGTGGACTGGGGGACGGTCTGGACCAGGGTCTGGGGGTGCCAGGGGTGGGAGTGCCTGGCTGTGATGGTACTGGGCCTGAGTTCGCCATGGCAGGCTGAGGTGTTCCTGGGTGAGGGGTGCTGGGGCGTGGGGTGGCTGGCCGGGGAGAGGCTGAGTGCATGTTGTGGTGATGCATTGAGGCGAGATGGGGTGAGGGCACGGGGGATGGTGGGAGGTGCAGGGGAGAGGGGCCCGGGGAGGCCATGGGGGTGTTGGAGCCTGGGTACCACTGCTGAGGGAAAGGAGAGGCCCGCTGCTGAGGGTGCTGGTGAAACTGCTTATGGTCTTGGCTCAACATTGAGGCTTCTAGACTTTGTTTAGAGTTTAGATTTTGGGCCACAATACTTCCATTGAGCTTGTGTCCAGGCCATGCACCGGGCTGAGGGGTAGTGCTGGGGGTGTTACCTCTGGCAGGGCCTGGCATTACCCCTTCATGGACTGGGAACATCCATAGGCTCCTGCTTGATGACAGGAGTGGCTCTGTGCTCAGAGGACACTGATGAGGGCCGGGACTGGTACTCCGTGTTTGGGGCATAAGCGCTGTTGTTAGGGATGTTGGACTGTTCGGGGTGACTGAGGCAGGCCTGGAGACTCTGGACATCAGGCTTGTTGTCCACTTGAGCAGCCTTTCGCCCCTCATAGGTCCTAATCTTCGGACGGAAAAGTGCATTGGGTGGACAGTTGTAGTAGCCGTAGTGCATTGGCAGATTGGGGTGGTATCCGTTGACAGGGTCAGGGGCAGAGGGCTGGCCCGTTGGAGGAAGGCCCCCCCTTGCATAGTACGCCGTGTGAGGGTAGAACGCTTCTGCAGACTGCACAGGGTATCCATCCAATGATCCGTTAAACGGCTCCTTCTTGATAGTGGGCTTTACCTCTTGCTTGATGACAGCTGTTGACAAAAAATAAACAAATACAAATAAAACAAATGTTGATAAGTGCTGCATGGATATTCCCTGATCAGTGACCTCACCTTTATTTCCCTGGGGTTGTGGAGAGCTGGCAACCCTGAGCTCAGTCTTCACCACAGCCTTCTCTGGGGTCTCCCCTGTCTGCTGCAGAAGTTTATTCTTCTTCTTCTCAGAGGCTGCCTTCTTGGCCTCAAGGCGGCGCTGTCGACAGGACTTGGCTGGTTCAGGTAGTTTCCGCACCTCACGTCTAAAGGCCTGAAGCACTTGGAGGGCTCCTGTCTTTACCTTAGCACGCTGAGCTTCTTCACTGCCGAACTCATCGGTGAGGGAGATTTTATACAAAGGTAAAACATGCAACTGTTCGTCCTCCGGGATCTCGCCCACCTTTCTGTTGTCCTCCTTTGTTAACGTACACACCTGCACACAGGAGCATCATAAGCCCATTAGTAAAATAGTCTCTTATTATGTTCTTTATAAGAGCACTGGTGCACCTACCACAGTACAGCCATTGTAGAGGTTGTGCTGGTCCTTATGGGCATGAGCGCAGAAATCCATGCAGGCGGTTACTCCAGAGAACGGACGGCCTTCCTTCAGTCCCAGTCTACAGTCTGGAGCCTTGGACTCAGTCTGACACTGAAAGACACCACAACATGCCATAAATACTGGACAGCAATGTCAAGCACCTAGTGTATTGTTTGTACTGTTTGGATTATGTTTAAGAGTATTATATCATAAGAGTAAATGCTTCACCACTCACCTGGTTACTGTAGGCTTGTGGTGCCAAACGCTTGTACAATGGAGCCACTTCAGTCGCCAAATTCTGGAAATTATCCCTGAGATTATCCTCCTGAAAGCAGAATCAAAATGAGACAAACAAAAAGCACACATGCAAAAACATTGATTCTAACATTAATTCAGTTTTATCAAGCAGCAGTCATACCTCTGCAGGGTGATCTCCTTGGAGCCTGAACTTGCGGGGGACTTTACTCCGAGCGTACTTACAGCCATTAAAGTACATACTCCAGGAGCAACCAAAAGAGAAGGAAGCTCCACACTTATCTGGGTCCTTGCCTTGACATGCACAAGTGCGACTGTAGGGGGAGACACAAGCATATGGATTGAGACAAGAGGATTTTTAGTAATTTTGATTTTGGGTACTTAATGCACACAACTTTTTGAAACAACAAAGCAGAGTTTCCATTAGATCATTATTAAATTCTGAGAGGGTTGACTGAATGACAGTTGTACAAGATTGAAGCAGTAGCTAAATGTAAAGAAATTAAGTTTCATAAGATGAACGTATTTAGTCCCAGAAATAAAGAACTAAAACAACTATAGTAACTACACTAGGATTTGAGAGTGAAATAATTTATAACACTAGAAGTTGATCAAAAGATTTTAAAGAAAATTCTCCTGTGTCTGTGTCATGTCAGAATGACCCATCTAGACCCATCTTTACATATTCATGGTAAGTTTCTTGAGTTTGCACGTTTTATTACTTATGAGAGCATTAGTCCTGTACATACTCATCGTTGAGGCCACAGCGTCTGCTGGTGGGGTTGCCGTATTTGGTGAGTGTGTCTGAGATCTCTCGATACAATTTGTCAGCCATTAGACTGGGTACTCCCTCCCAGGCCAGGATGAGGATGATGATGACAGCATTGTCACAATGATGTCCTGGGCGCTGCCGAACCACACACAGCAGCTTCTCCTTCTCACTGGCACGACGGATCACCTGGGATACAACACATTCATTCATAAATATTTACACTTTGATTTTTTCCTGGTCCGACACCTCATCCTGCCTTAGACCAGATGTTGATTGTGGTACGTGGGATTTTATGTGGTACTGTTTTTGCAGTAGTGTCTCTACTTAATTTTAGATTCTAAACTTAATATGGGGCACTGCTGTGTAGATACATACTGTAGGCCAATTTTAGTTTCTACTTTAGACCTGGTATATTCCATATTGACTATAGATTCCATCCTAGTACTTGAAAACTAAATATATACAGTATGGTGGTACTTGATATGAAAAAGCTGTTTTAGAAGCAGTGCCTTGCACTAACTATACAATTTATCAAACACTATTGTGATGTTATAACTACTTTAGGGTCATGGCATCATAGTTTGACACATAGATCTGATATTTGTCATTCATGTTAATGAAGGTGAATCAGGATTTAGGTTGACAGGTCATTAAACAGCCCGACCTCCCACTTGGTGTCACACTGAACCGGGTGGCACCTTGTTACTGGACACCTTTACTCCTATGGCATAAATCTGTTCCTAACTGCCACTACTGTCAGTGGTGTTCCCTGACTGACACAATACTCAACTTACATCCCCAAAATAACATCTGCATGTGAAAAGTGTGTTTACCTTACTTTAATTCAACTACACAATTGTGTATAGTGTATAAAATGAGGAAATCATCCAAACATATTTTTTTGTCTAGAGGTATTTACCCATTTAGCAATAGGACAGCCTCTTGAACTCTTTCCTTCTCTGCCTGTGTACACTGCCTTTTCAATGCGGATTGCCTCTCCCGTCTGTCCAAACCTGAAAAAGCAAAAACATTATAAATTCACAACATTCAGTTTTTTCAACTATAGTCCTCAAATAAAAGTACAAGGCAATTGGCAGAATAATGTTCTGCAGGTTAAGCATTTGAATATGCTATAAATAAATTCTTAGCCCCACTTATATTTAACTTGCTTGTGTGATATAATGTATCTATACAGACCAATCACCTGTTAAGCGTTGGACTGTAATTCACATGACTTTGTGGATATTCACACAATGATGACAACTTTGGCCAACTGCTGCTCAATATCTCTAGGAAACATGTGAGTCTTTAAAGGGGCAATATGTAACTTTTCTGGAAAGGAGTCTAAAACTGGCATGTCCTGCATGTCTCCAATGTTACCACATTGCTTGGGAGATTCCACAGTATGGCACTGAACATTTCTATCTAGAATTAATTTCATTACTGATTTCACTACCAATGTGTTTGTAGCAAAGGAAATAAACACAAAAACATATATTCTTGCTATGAGTGGGCTTGCCTTTCCACAGATTTGACCAGTAACTTTGCTTGGTGATGCCACCTTCTTGTGTCAGCGGAGACAGATAAGATATGCTTAATGTCATATTGTGGAATATTCTAGCCAAAGAAATAACATATCCATGGAGACAACATAATGGCAGACCTTCCACTAGAAAAGTTTCATAGTGCACCTTTAATATAACCTACAATAATGTATAAACGTGTGTGGAGAAGTCACTTTCACCAAATGAACGGTTCTATCACCAAAAAGCTTTATTAACAAAATTGCATTCAATGTGTAAGATTAAAGGTGCACCAAGTTTTCTAGAGGATCAGTCTCCAGTTTGGTCTCAGAAAAATGTTGTTTTTTTGCTTGGAATGTTCTATAGTATGGCATTAAGTTATATATTGTTCATTTAATTGTTTTTTGTTTGTTTGTTTGTTTGTTTCAAAATAACAATTAAAGGTCCTATTTTATGCAAACATGACTCGTGTGAGCTTTAAACCATGTTATAAAACATATCTGTTGTGTTTTGTTTCATTACACGTTTGAATTACATTTTATTATCAGGCTGTCTGCATCTCTAAAGCTCAAAATGCTCTGTGCCACCATATGATGTCATGAAGTGGTAGTTTTCAAGTTAGAGTTAAAGTTTCAGATGCATTTTACCATTAGTTTATTAGAGATTAGAAAACCCAGTGCTGAAATTATCCAAATGATTCTAGTGAAGGTGTATGGAGTTTAAAAACACAGTGGAGGACTTGGATTACAACATGACATTAAAAGGTGGAACAGAGTGTTTTTTGTTTGAGAGAAGAACAGGGGTTTGTGTGTTGAACATGTGTGAATGAAACAAAACACAACTCCATGTTTTGATGAGGAAATGTAGAAAATAGTACATGTGGGTCCTTCAACTTAATATGTCAACTGCTGAGAATGCTCAACACCTCTATAGGAAATAGACCAAACCCACAACCTTAAGTAGTATATAGCGCTCCTTTAAACTTAGAACTTTGAATTAATCACGATACATTTCTCCCTGAGTTTATCACCCTTTTACACTGAAAGAATAAAGGGGTCAAGGGTTATTTTGGGACAGGGCAAACAGGTCAGTGGGAAATGTCAAACGCTGGCTCACGGTTCATATCAAGTCTCCTGTGCTCCTGATCAGCTCTATTGTCCACACCTCAGCTCTGAGTGGATTTGGCAGGGCCCAGAACAGAAGATGCCCCGGATCAATAGGATGGACCCAGGGGTGGCTGGGAGAGTGGGAGAGGAGTGGGTTTGGACACAACAGGGACACAGGAGTTGAGGTCAAAAGGTCAAGTCGGGACTAGGGGTCTTGAGATCCTACGTCATCCTCTGTCCACATCCCCCCATGCACAGAGTATACTGGGAATACCGCTGGTCCCAGGATGCTCTAGTGAAGTTGTGTGTTTCTTTGATTTCAGTCAGTGTTTCTGTTGCCATTGTAGCTTTTAAAATTATAGGACTATATTATGGCACCATGATTAACTGTTAATTAGAACTCCATGACAACCATAGTAAACAGTGAGTAACATTAACTGCAGTCTTTAGTCATGCATAATGTATTAGACTTATTGATACCGCTTTATCAATGCTAACATCTCCCTTAACTCTTAATTCTCCTGGGACTACACAGTCTTAATACAGACCATATGAATACAATGATAATATCAGATTAATACATCTAAATATATCAGTATTAACCTGGATATCATCTTCAGTATCATTCACTTCTAATAAGTGTTTTAGAAAGAGGAACATGTCTAACTTCTCTGTGGTTTTTAACAACAATGTCATTTTGTTACATTTCAGGGAAGCAAGAGTTTACTTCCACTGTGTATGAACGTTCAGTCTATAAATATGAAATTGTACTTGCTCTTGGACTATATCCAGTGTGAAAATGTAACTTTAAATATATACAAATGATTACTACTTATCCCACTTTCTTTGCATAATTAAGCATAAGTTTGTTAATGCTGTAACCTTATAAGTAATTCTTTAATAACATAATAAACTTTGGCAGAACAAACTGGCTCGATTCTGCATGATGGTAGTGGACTCTGGTGAGCTTTATGACATGTTATAAGTTTGTTATCTCTTCAGAAACATACCTGGAGTTGTGTTTTGTTTCATTCACATGTGTTGGAGCAACATTTTATTATTAGTTGGTCTACACCCCCAAATCTCAAAATGCTTTGTTGCACCTTATGATGTCATGTAGTGATAGTTTTCAAGTTCAAGTACATATTGGCAATTCCAGGACTGAAATTATTCAAATGTTTCTAGTGAAGATGTATGGAGTTTAAAAACACAGTCGAGCACTTCCTGTATTACTACTGTGTTTTCAATTTGAGAGAAGAACTCAGCCTAAATATGCAGGATTTGTGTGTGAATGAAAAAAAACTTCAGGCATGTTTTTGATCAGGAAACAACATTATAACATAGATCAGAAAATAGCGTAATACAGGCCATTTAAAATAATCAAGTAACCTATACATTTTTGACATCCACTAACGCTGCGTAAACATCACAATATATATGATAATCAAGCTAGGGCTGTCAAGGGTTGCACTGTTACATTGGTTATGGTTATTAATGAATTATGTATCAGCTATTCAACTATAGATTTTTCTGATTAGGGCTGGGTATCACTGTGAAGTTGCCGATACGATACATCCCTCGATAAATAGGCCACAATAGTATACATTTTTCGATATAGTGCACTTTGATTCAGCACGATTCAATACAATATATTTCAAATCAATTCAATACTTTTCAGTAAAAAATACAGGCGAAATCATGGCTGTTATACCAAAAGTCTGTGCAAAGTTAAAATGAAAAATGTCCAGTTTTCAAAATATGAGTGAATATGTCAAATGTACTGCATAAACATGTCTCCTTTCTCCAAACAAGCAACACAATTTCAGATCTTTCACAAAATGATTCAGTAAAATATATCAAAAAGTTACTCTTGGCAATATATCGATACAGCGGCCCACGATATCGCTCCTGTATCATCAAATTAAACAACGCGATATATCGATATTTCAGTATTTCAGATTCTCTCATCAGTTACCGTCACAGCCATCGTGTGATATGCAGAAGTTGACACAATTTTTGCTCCTTCTTCTACTCAGATTTGGTCATGGATTTCCCTCAGCAGCGAGAGGACAGAGCTAGGACTTTTGAAACAATATCTCACTGCAATATATATTTTACAATCCATAAACATACATATAAGATCTGGTGACAATTTGAGAAGATGGAAACATTGACCACTGAACTAACGCAAGAGTCAGAAATATGTCAGGACATGTTTGCAAAGATCTACACAATACCAGTTAGCAGATACACCGTGAAGACAGAATATGTTGTTCTCTGCCCAGGAACGCTTTGAAACAGTTGATTAATGATTCATTCAGTCTCAAATCTTACCTGGACTCCATCAGGGTCCGGATAGAGGACACGGTGGGACCTGCTCCGAGGTGATTGTAGTATGGACCCTCGTCTTTCTCCAGGATTTGCTCTAAACACAGAGAGAAAAGGGCCATCAGGCAGTGCTAGGTTTTGGGCGTACATAGCAAATACATAATAATAATACATGTTTATATATAAAAATGTGAAGTTGTTGCTGTAAAGTAATGTAATCTATAATCTGGGGGGTCACTTGTTGTACTGTATTTAGACAATCTTTAAGACACAGCAAGACACAGTGGTAATGATTAAACAACACCTTTTCAGTAAATGTGTCACTTCAGTAAAGTAGCTCTAGTAATCTTAGTAAATAGATAAACTAATGTTAAACAGTGTATATTTTCAACACCTTTATGTATTTGTAAAATGAAATAATTAAGGGATGAAGACCGAAACAAGCTAAATCTACTCTAAACCTGCAATTCGGACTAAAACAAGACTACACCAACACTTAATCAGGACATAATCAGGCCTAAAAGCTAATTTATTCCATAGACTATATGTAAATAACTAATAATTCCATAGATTATATATAAACATATGTAAAGCTCTTGATGTACATTGGAATACTGACGCCCCTCTCTCTGTAACTGCTGCTGTGAATGTTCATATTAACCCGCTCTGGTGTTTTTTTTACCGCTATTTTGTCTGTTAAAAAATCCTATTCCTACTGTAGAGCCTGGCGCGTATATACAGTCTATGATTTATTCCCAAACAAAGGAAAACTGTCTGAATAATCTAAAATAACAAGATTTAAACTGATTGCAAAGAATATTTATCAAGGATGAAAATAAAACCAAACATCAGCTAAACCTAGGCCTGTCACAATAACAGATCTTGAAGCGTGATATATTTCTGAAATAAATATGAACGGTAAACAAAAATATTGAAACCAAACCCCCAAAACTATTCTAAATCTACAATATTGTTAACAATTATGAGCTGCAATCAATAAATAACAGAAATGCACAGTTAAGTAGTTAGGTTGTCTCTATAATGAGCCATAGATGTTCATAATTCAACCCTCTACAACTCAAATCTGATTGTCAAACAGAAAAATAAACAAAAGTTTCCAAAAGTAAATATAACACAGTATAGTTATTGTGACAGGCCTAACTAAACCAGGCCTAAAGTTAGTCTTTACCATATGCAGCAGGGAATGCTTTGAATCTAGCTGCAATAATAATGTCTAAATCCATAATAGTGATTAATAGTGATCACGACAGCAAAAGTATACAGTCAGTGCTTTGTCTTCCCACGATTTGAGCTCCAGTGCACTAAACTGAAACACTGATACTCCATGAGAAGCTCTTATGGGGCTGCTGTAACCTCACATTCCCACAGAAACACACAAACATGTAAGAGTTCCCACACGCACAGACAGACCGTGGGCATTAAGTGCTGGGTGTGGTGCCAGAGGAGACTGGGTAAAGCCTTTTGGTGCAGCTAATGACTCAGGATGTAGTGTAAGTCTATGGGGAGCCGGGTGTGTCTCTCTGGTCAGCTGTGTTGATGTTGTCCAGTGCTAGAATTTAGTCTAGTAAAGATGGATAGCTCTGCATCATTTTAGGTTCAAAATAGCAGGTGGTGAATCGTTTTACAGAAAAGCAAGGACAAGAAAGTTGAATTCATTTTCAAGCATGTACACTGGTGCCTTAGTGCGGTGTTTTTTGTAATAAATACCTACTTAAAATATAATATCTCTGGCATAAGAAAATAGCCAGAGTCATGCGTGTTTTTGGAATGATAAAAACTGTATTATGTATCCACGGAGTTGTCATTGTCTTTGAGATATACTACAATATGGCATTAAACATATCTATTTTGCCTTCATTAAATTACATGTTTACGCATACATCCAAAAAAGATAATATAAGTATAGTGTACCTTTAATATACACATGCCTCATTCACCCAACAATCATAGAAATCAGATCCAAACCAAGACTAAACTAGGTGTGAATGTGGTCTAACCCAAAAGAGTGAACAAAAGGACTCAAATAAACCCGCAGAATCCCACACACCATAGTTTGAGAACCACTGCACTCGAGACATCCGTCAGTCCTATATCCGCTAAACATTGATGGTGTTCAGCGGTGTTATTTGAGGATACATGAGGTCACATTCCAGTGCAGTTAAAGGGAGGCACTGACTGGGAGTGGCCTGGATCAGGAAGTGGAGGAGTCACAACATTCTTCTGCAACATTGTGTTTGCAACAATCACAGCTATACAAGCAGCGGTTCTCAAGCTGTGGTGCGGGGCCAGAGGTGGTACGCTGGCAACTTCTGCTGGTTCTTTTTTTCCCCCCTTTAATAGTGCAGAACAGTTTTAGTCATAATTTGTGCAAGTTATGTATGATTTAGTTTTTTTTGTCTTGATTAGTTCCTTTGTAAACCACAAAAGGCTCTTAATATATAAATACTTTCACTGTACTATTGTAAACCTACAATAATGAAGTCAGTCTTACAGTTGAGGGGGAGTATAGTTTAGTGATTAGAGCACTTTCTATAAACCTATGTCTGCAGGGTTTACTGCAGCTGTTCTGTTCCAACTGTGAGCCAGATCTGGAGCAACAAAGGTCTGTTTTACACTAATCATTTAAAAGCCCCATTAACTTCACCCCAATGAGTTTATACACACTTAGTAATAACCACAAATAGGACACTTATATTCCCAAATGCACTATATAAAAAAAAACTCAATTATTGCATATGTATTAATAAGAAAGCCTGTACTATGCTTATGCTCTATTTAAATGCCATTAATAATAGACCTTCAGTTATAGTAGGGCTGTGACACCTGGTTATTATCCATAATTATGTCACTGGAACCCATTTTAACAGAAGTTTGCCTATTTTATGACAAACTCTATATTGCATTATATTAAAAAACACTTGTACTTCACTTAACTATTTTGATTTGTTGGTTATACTCTCAATACCACAGTAATTTATTGAATAGTAATAGAACATATCCAAGTCAAATTCCCTTCTTTACCAATTGATTTGTAGAAGAATCATTTTTTGAATACCTTTGCCTATTTCAAATTCATAACCTGTGCGGGGTACCCAAGCTATCCCCTATTTTGTCTGACAAAAGCTCTGTTCTCGCCTGCCAATGCTAGCCGCTACACAAAGCCTCCTTCTGCCACCTCTGCTATTGTTCTGGCCCGCTGCCTTACTGTGCTCTCACTGTGGCAGTCTGGATGGGTACACCACACACCCCAGAACACACATCCAAGGGCCCCTCAGAACAGCTCACGCCGTGGGGGGCTGATAGCTTAATAGTGGATCCATAAAGAAAGAGGGGCAATTATCTACTATGGTTACAGTAGAATTGAGTTCTGTTTTGTGGCGTTTTATAGTATGGATTGGAGTTCAAACAGTAAAGCACAAATCCTACAAAAATAGTAAAACTGCATATGCCTTTATCAGGATGTTTGTGTTGGTATACTGTGTTAACTTATCTTCTTCTTGGTCTTAACTCTTCAATTAAAGGTGCACTATGTAACTTTATTGGTGTAGGGCCCGCTATAGTTTTGCCTAGAATATTCCACAGTATATCTTTCATTTGTTTAATATAGTTTTTATTGCTCAAACCACCTTAAGAGAATGCATTCTTACTGTGAGTGGGATCTCCTCTCCACAAATCTGCCTTGTAACTTGGCCCTCTGCCGCTACCTGCTCGTCTCCATGAATAAGGATATGTTTAATGCCATAGTGTGGAACAATCCAGGCAAAACAATTACTCAATATTGTCTCCAGAACTCTCCATAGGATCAAGCAGGTGACAGAAAAGTTTCACAGTGCACCATTAAGAACGCGGACCAACTAATGCGAACTGAGGACTAAACATTGGTGTCATCTTGGTCTAAAAGAAAAGTTATTGGAGGAATGATATGAAATGTCATACAAGCAATACTTACCCACACAGTTGCAGGTCGGGAACTCCGCCTGTAGGTCTTTTGAGGGGGTATCAAGCAGATTTTTTGTGGGAGTGTCCAGATAGCGCAATGGGGACTCCAGGAACCCTTTGAGAGATGGAGATACTGGGAAATCCTTGGTCGGGGTGTCATCTTCTGAGTAGCATGTTGTGGAGAGCACCGATATATCCCCGGACGATTCAAACTTCATACGTTTTGGGAAAGGGGAGCAGGGAATACAGAATTTATCCTCACTAGCCATTGGCTGCTGCTGCTTTCCTACTTCCTGGTGTACAGACTGGGCGCATACAGCCCTCTCACACTGCTCATCCATAGGGGTATCACCATTTTCTTTACTTTGGTTTCCTGACTCCTTTATATCCATGTTCTGATCCTGCGTTGAAGAATTGGATTGGTTGGTAGACACTGATGCTTGGTTCTCATTTTGAATTAGGGACTGACTTGTTTGAGGATTTGCACTCTCCCCCGTCGGTTGACTTCCAGGTTCATCCGAGGGCCCAAACTCTGCCTCAAACTGACGGATAAGCTCTTCGTACTTAGGGTCAATATTGGTGAGGTTTGAAAGTGAAGATGGTTGAGTGGTGGACGTTATAGGGGTGCTGGTGTTAGACTGGGCTTCACTTTTCATAGTCAGATTAGTGGCGTTTTCTGAATTTGTGGAAGGCTGGGTCACTAAGGTTTGGGGTACCTGAGACTGGGCTGGTGCAGGGGGCATCATAGCGGTTGGGAGGGGACCACTGTGAAGGGACATCAAGGGGAGAGCGCCTGGGTGCAGTCCGGTTTGTACTGGACTGAAAACTGGTGGCTTTTGCACTGATATTTGACTTTGCGGCATGAAAAGTGGCATGGACGCCTTCTGCTTAGTTTTCTTGATAACTATTTGCTTGGGCTTAGGTGGTGGCGGCGTAAGCATGCCCCCCATCGGGTTTATAATAGGAGATCCTTGCATGCTTTTCCTCCTTTTAGGTTCTTTAGGTTCTTGTTTAATTGCCATATGCGTCAGGGTTTGTGGGTCCATCTGTGGCCACCATTTCTTCAAGTTTTGGCAAGTGTTGGGGGCACGTGGGCCTGCAAAGCTTGGGGAGTGGTTGGAGAAGAGGTTCCTTTTGTAGTGAAGGTGCTGTTGCAAAGCTGCCTGAGTGGAGTGGCGGATGGCTGCTTGGTTTGGAGACAACGGCGTCCCGGGGTAGTGCTGCTGACCATTAGCCATGCCGTAAGGATCCATAGGGTAGTGCTCCATTGAATCTGGCTCTTTCTTTATCTTGTCCAATGCTATGTTATTTTGGGGATGATTATTATTCACATTTTGATTCAAGTTTTGCTGTTGCTGAACTGGGAGTCTAAAGGGGGCGCTGTTAAATTTCCTGCTGTTGTCGCCAAGCAGTTGTTTAAGCTCTGACATGGGGTCTTGGCTGTTGCCCATCCACACATTCCTCTGTTCTCCGTGGCCCGTGCCCTGCTGCCAGTGCTGGGGATGCTGAGGGTGGGGGTTAAATCCCGGAGGCTTCCCTTGACCTGGGAATGGCGAGGTAGAGGACTGAAGAGGGGTAGCATGAGGAGGAGGGCCTTGGGACTGCGGCCGCTGGTCTGGGATCGGCTGGGCGGCGTGGAGTCCAGGCGGGACGGACTGAGAACGTGAGAAGGAGTGCCCGTTTGGGGGGTGGTTCTGGAGGTTGTTTTGGTGGAGGTTGTTGTTGTAGTGGCCTGGGGAGCTGGTAGCCTGAGTACCAGATAACTGGGTGAGGGCTTCAATTGCGATGGCGGTCTGTAGACTTACATTCCTCTCCTTGGCGATGGACAGCACCTGTGGGGAGCAGGGGATGGGCGGTTTGGAGCCTGGGTGTAGCTGTGGATTACCTCCCTGTTGTTGTTGCTGTTGTTGCTGTTGTTGTTGATGTTGTTGTGGGAATGTAGAGGACCCACTATTGCCATTCATCGGCTGAGTTTGTGCACTGGATTTGCTGCATGGAGCCCGATCTTCATTTGTTGCCAACTTGATTTTTTTCTCCAGCCACTCCAGGTAGTCGGGACAGTCGGGCCCATCGCAGTTGCAGTTCGGGGGCTTGTGTCCATGTTTGGCTTGGCTCAGTGCGGTTTGTAGAGTGTCCAGGTCATCCGGGACTTGGCAGCTTCCTTTCACAGCCCCGGCAGACAGTCCCACCTGGTCCCCCTCGCCCATTTCCTGGGTGAATTTCTCATACAGCTGGCTGGTGTTTTGCTGTACAGGGGTGGAGTTGGAAGCTGGCCGGGACCCAGCAGTAGCAGAGAAAGCCACCAGATTGCGTGCGTCCTCTATGTTTGCATGGTGGATAGATTCACTGGTGGAGTTGGGTCGGCTGGTCCAGTTTGAAGGTTGTTGGGTGTCACTGACCTTGGCAGGCCCTGGCACCCAGCCTTGCCTCTGCTGATGCAAGTCCATGGGCGCCTCATCATCATTAGCATAGCGCTTCACCCCATTGGCCAAATTCAGGTTTGGTGCGCCTTCTTGGAGGCGGTCATGTGACCCAATTTCCATCTGGCCTCCACTTCTGGGGCCATCCACTGACGTGACTCTGCAAACAGTCTGAAAGACAGAAACATAAGTAAAGTTAGGAAAAAGACAGCAAAGCCAGAAAACATCTTGCAGAGCTTGAGAGAACATCATAACATTTATTTATTTATAATTGGTTTGGTAAAATTACTATTGTGAATTACAAAATTGTGCATTTCCTTTTGTATATTTCCTAAATATAAAATATAGTTCATACAGTTTGTACATTACAGGTCTGCTAGTGTATATACAATCTGCATATAACCAATAGTTAAGGGTTGTCCCTATTATATCTCCAAGTATTTCTTGTTAGTAGTAATAACATTTGAAAGCATGGACACACGCCTTTCTGCCCCCTCTCTCTCACTACACACAGGGATAGAAGGCTGGGTCAGTAGGTCTGAGCAAAAACTGAATTAACCAGTGCAACAGTTGAATGATTTCACAACACAGGGTTTAGTCAGGTCAGCCTTTGGTCACGTGACATCATTTGACTGTTGTTTATAAATGAACCAGGGCTCCAGATCAGTTGGGCTTTGCAAAACAGGGAGGTGTAGTTCCACAGGTCACTCAAGTCTATAAGTGAGATTGTGAAATAAAAAACCACTATAGATACACTGTCTAATACAGGTTTGAGCAGTCAGTCAAACAAATCCAGAAATGCTTTCGACAAATATTAATCCAATAAGTCACCAATATAACCACATGCTGGACTTTAAATAATTTTTTCCACAGCTCTAGCCATCTGGTGTACAACTAAAAATAGTAATTTAGGATAAAATGGTGCAAGATGTTCTTATTTTGAAAAGTTACATTTCATTGAAGTGTCCCAATCCAGTTAACACATACTCAAGAAATGGTAAAATATGGCTGAAGAAAATGACTTGCCAGTGCAGGAAATAAGCATATTATAATGACACAAGATCATAGTCACATCATTAAAGCTATGTTTCCCATTAACCTTTGGTCTGCAGTTGGTGGCTTTAAGAAAAATGGGACAAGTAATAGAAAACAGACATCTACACTGCAAAACCTTGTCTTTAATGTGAATATCTCACTTTGTCAAACCAGATCAGTTCCAGACATCTGCAGACCATATTGTAAAAATGTATTCCTTAGTTAGAACTCAGTATGATTTTTACTGCAATTATGACAAACTTGGCTGTCTGCTCACTACAAATCATTAAGTCCACAGGGATCTGTGAAGATATTCCAAGGACATGCACAGGAATTATTGACAGAGTTCAGTTGTAATAACATGTCCCTACTATTCAAACAGCTGAGCAAAGGAACACAATGTTGCTCTCCAGTAAACAATTAAAAGTGCAAATAATGGCCCTCATATTGGCCCAAACTAGTAAATACTGACACTTATACACTACCACTACTACTAATAATAATACGAATACTACACTGCCTTTTGAAATACTAGACAATAGATGCCCTGTTATGCAGAAAATCCTCAAAAGAACATTTCAATTGTTTGCATAGTGCAGTAGGAGTGAGCCAGCTTCCCTATAATTTGAATATTATTGAAATGAGCCTGTGAACGCTGCTAATTACAGACATCTTTTGGTTTTGGTGCCTGTATCTCAGAGGGGGTCCTTTTGCATTGGCTGTATTGGTAAGCATTTACTTGAAAAAGGAAGAAGGACAGGGTAGTCACAATGTACAATTTTAGTTTCAGAGTTATTGTAAAAACGATACATGGTAAAACTGAGAACTGATACAAGAATCCTATTAACTTCAGAAACCTGTCTGTAGAAGTCTAAACTACATTTACAACATGATTTTTCTATAAAAAATACATGATACTGTTATTTGCAGATGACATTCTGTAAATAATTGCACCCTTTGCAATTTGAGAAATGCAACTCAAATCACGATATTAATTTGATTGCAATACACTGTGCAGCCTGAAATCCCCATTAAAAAGGGGGGTGAATGAAGGGTGGTGGTGGTTGTAGTAGTAGACAGCCGGCATGCAATACGTGAGGAGCCCCATGTATGCTTGTATCAGTGGCATCAGAGGAAGGGGGGTGGGGGGGGTGGATATGAGAACTGCAGTGTTGAAACAGAGGATACTGCAACACAGCACCACCAACCATCACACAAACACTCACTATCTGTCATCTTCTAGTTCCTCTATTTCTTTTACGATTAAGTACACCTACGGAGCGGTCACATGGGTTTAAAGCGCCGGAACCAAAACACGACTTCACGCACGTTCACATTTAGCGGCAAATCTAACCTCCGCTGGTCTGAGCAATGCTAAAATCCCACTCATTTTGTCATTTGTGATCCTTTGTTAATACTACTAATGTGATTATCAACACATTTAGATATAACATTTCCTTTATATTGCAATAAACATGTCTAAGTATGTTAAAATGTATGTCTATTTAAACATTATTTACATTTAAATAAAATAGTGCAGTGCTGTATTTTAACTATTTCAAATGGTTTTAAGTCAAGCACACTGTCAAATAATCCAGTTAAGCCACAATCTGTAATAGAGGCAAACTATAATTATATAACAATTCCATAGTACCGTGAAATGAATCTTACGATCAAACTTATTAGTAATTTTTTGAGTCAACCGTTGAGCCCTGCCTATTTGATCTTGCTGAACCAGGTGGACCAGACCGGCTTCCCTTTAAACTAGATACATCAGATAATCAGCTATGACAATATCTATACAGAGGACAAACTGAACTTGAAGTTGGCAAAGACTGGGTTAAATGCAGCTCAAGTGTAGACAGCTGAACCTAAATCCCAAACACACAACAGCCCCTGTCCGGCCGCTTTGCCCTCCTTCACCCCCCACGCGTTGCCCCCTCCCCATGGCTCCCTTTGCGGCTTGTGTGACAATATAAAGCCGGTTTAAAGCTCAATGCCCCAGACATCATCATATACTTACATGATCCTAAATGTCCGGAGAGCGCAGAATACAGTAAGTCGCATGTGAAAAGCTTGCCGGTAATAGAAATCCTAGTGTAGTAGCGGTCCTCTTGTTGTCCTAGTCCTTTCTATTGCGGTTTACACATCAGATCCAGCTTGGAGATCTATGTAGTCGGAGCCAGCCAAGCGCACACCTCCCCCTCGCTATGGCACACGCGCTTTTCATTCTTTTAGCGTTTACTTCATATGCCTTTTTCCTTGCTTCTGTCTGCTCCTCCCTTCCCCGTGCGTTCAATATCCTCTTTCTTTCTCTGGACTGCTAACACATGCATTCGGCTTTTTTTTTTTTTTTTTTTTTTCGAGAGTCCACCCCCCCACCACCCTCCTATGTCTTTCTCTCTCTCCCTCTCTCTCTCCTCCCCTCGCAGTGCAGCCTCTCCCTGTGTCTCCTTTCCTCTCTCTCTCTCCCAGTGTGTGTGTGCAAAGCAAGAGGCCATTATCTGAAGCGGTGCGGGCACGTACGATGGAATGGAGGAGTGAGCTGTGAACGGTGCATAGGGGAACCAGCGCTGCAGCCGGTGAACGCAGCCTAGGAGACAGCATTGGCTAAAATTAAACATTGACAAATCCCACCTCTTGTGTTTCAACCCAAACATTCCATAAAAACCATAATCTTTTCCCATGATTTTCTGTCTTTTTAGGGGCTGGGAGAGTGACCACCACCAAGCGACTACCAGACTCCGCTAACATCAACACAGGAAGAGGAAAAAGCACTAAGGAAAAAGCAAACATCAAGTGTTTAAGACGGGTGTACGCGTCCCTTTCCCTTCCGCTAGCTTTGATGCATGTACAGGTTTAAGTGGCTGCTTTCGGAGCTGCCCTGGGCCAGTGGACAAGAATCCAACGCTGGTTAACACCGTTCTATTTCTATTTCTCCATTTTCCAATATCCTCTACAGAAAAGTGCCAAAAATGATCATTGCCTGTCTGCGCTCTGCCAACAAGATGCACGAGACAGTAATCAAGCTTTGGAGATTGAGCGTCTAGAAGCTAGGACTTAGATAACCGCGTATTTGGTGTGTATCATGATTATGTAATCGCACAATCCGTATAAAAGCATGGGAATCAACACCACGAGCAGCCGGTAGATGTGTTTTTGGTACATCTATTCCCAGTTACCCAATCATGCAGCGGTTGCTATGTACGCACATCGCTAGGAGCCACCACTTTTCACCGTTGTCATTTGTTCATCACTAGATTCATCCCATATCTGTCACTTCAGCCCTACAGTAGCGCGCGCTCCCCTTACCACCGCTTTGCCTGGGTGTCATCCTCACTAACGCAACATCATCCCTGGAAATGTGTCCTCTCTCTGGGTTCATCGGCCTTGTGTTGTGTCCTTCCGTGGAGCTTTGGTGCACCATCGTGCCAGACTTCGCTCCCGACTCCCGAGTTGAGTAATTGTATGATATTACAAGGCTAAACATCACTCTATACAGCTGGATTAGCTTGTTTTCCGTGCCCGCTGCTGCGCTTTCTGCACCTTCCGATTACACCTCTCTTGTTTTGTTTTCAGAGCCGCTTGCACATCATTGACAACAGCCTGTTTCATTACCGCAACCTATTTCAGACTGACTAAACTGCACTGGCAAAGCACATTGGTATAAATTAGATACATTCAAGTGTAAGGAGAGAGTCGATCGGAAAAAATACAACAGTGCACACGGGCCGTTTAAAGCAAGCAGAGAAAGAACCAGAGCAGTAGGTCACATGATCGAGGAGAGCCAATGGGAGCGAAGGAGGTGAGGAGTGTGTGGCTGTTGCGTAGTTGTTTCGTCATTGGCGTGTCTCCCCCACCAGGAAGCATGCCACTTGACACATGCCTGATCACTCAGCTATCACCATCCACACACTCACCAAAGGACACCGGCAAACCTGTGCTTTCCCCTTAAAATAACACAGGATGTGACTTAACCCCAACATCACATGGGCTACCAGTTCCCCTTTTTAAACAACACAACGTGCTCACTAGCGGCATGCAGTTGAGACGATTGGGGGTAAAGAGAAAAACAACGTGGATCAGGAATATATCTCAAAATGTCTCCGCTCAGCGACTTTAAAGCAGAAGTAAAG